TGTGGTTGAGACACGGAGTCCGGGACATGACCCGCGGTCGACTACATGGGAGTCCAGTGACATAGCCATTACGTTAACTGCTGGTCCCTGGAAGATGTTCTTTTAACTGCAATGACAGTCAGCAAAATTCCCTGGGAGAAACTTGCAGTCACATTCAAAAGCTCCACTTTGCTAATTCCATCATTTGAATTACGACACGAGTTTATGCTTGATATGTAGGAATTCAGCATATCATAAGACCTGTAGTTTGTTTTGTTCTTTGATATTTAGTATATGTATGTGTGAGTGTACGTGTGGGTATGTGCATGTGTGTGCGTGCATGCATGTATAGATTGTTGTTTTACACCAAGGTTTCCTCAAGGAGGCAGTGTTTGAAAACAATGACATCCTAGCTAATATGGCCACCTGTTTGCCTTGAATGTTAAGATGTAAATCAGCTGGTTGCAGGTGCTTTTTTTTTTTTTTTTTTTTTTTGCCTGAAGAGGATGCAACAGAGAATGGGAGAATGGTCCTATCACTGAAGATCAGATGTTCCCAACTGCACCAGAGAGCAATTGCATAGGACATTGACGATGTTGGAGAAGGGTCTGGCAATTGGTTTGAGCATTTACTAAAATCCTTTTAATCCTTCAAAATCCTCCAGAACCACTGGTTAGTTAATCCACGTAGGTTTCTTGCTGGATTGTCAGGGTTCTTAATCCCATTCTACAGATAAGTGATTCAACAAATGTCTGACTTTACAAAGGGCAAAAACAAATGTGGGATCTTGGTCTCCTACCAGTATATCCTGTCTGTAGATCAGTCTGCCGGCACTTCAGAGTGGCCACTATATAGAAGAAGCTAGTCTTGAGTCTCCTCTTCTCACTGAAAGTTACATTTTTCTGTCAAGTTGGTAGGAAATGCTTTTACACTGGAGGATGCATTTCATGTTGGTGGTGGAAGTTGGGAGGGAGGGTGTTCCTGGCTTTCAGTCAGCCTTTCAGAAGCCAAAGAGGAGAGCATTAGCTGGCCAAACTGGTCCCAAGGTATGAGTTTCTTGGCCATGTTCTTGAAATCTCACTTAAAATGGCCACAGGTCAGGTGATTCCTGCTCCCTCCCACTGTTTAATTCAAACTCTTCCTAAAGGATTTTCATTCACCCAGGTTAGGGTGAACTCCCATGGCCTTGCTCTTCCTTTGCTTGAGATCATTGCATTGAAGGACATCTGCTGAAAGGGAAGGAATCCTATCCGTGTGTGTGGGGGGTGGGGGAGCATTGGATTTGGATTTTTAAAAATGGCCTGAGTCCCTTATATCTTATTTATTTGTTTTTAAATCTTTGTACTTTGTTTGTGTTCTGTGAAACTTTTTGCTTTAGCCTTCCACTTTTTCAGTTTTTTCTTTTTTTAATTTATCATTGTTGATATTAAATAAATTCAAGCCTCCCTATTCAGGACTCAGAAAGCAACCAGAGCTTCTATTTCATGACACCAATTTCTGCTCCCTCTTCTCTCCCTCTCATGAATTCTACAAGTGTTTAGCCTGTCAGAAAGGCTGCCGGTGTCCCAGTGGCCTCCCAGGTAACAGGATGGATGGGCATCATGGGTGTTGTGTTTTTTTCTCCCCCTCTCTGTCTCTCTTTTTCTGCAAGGGAAGCTAAATTGAGGTGCATATATTATCATAATTTCCACAGTTTCATGGAATAAAGTTTAGGGGAAAGGAAGAGTAGGGAGAGCATAGAGAAAGCTAGAAAGACAGAGTCCCATTTAAGAGCGTTCAGGGTTTCAGGCATCCAAGGCAAACACCAAAAACCTTTTTCTTCCCCCTCTGATAGGTGTCCAGGATCTTTCACTCATCTTTCCTGACTAAGTACACAATTTTAGAAGGTACTACTATAGACTGGTACAGATGAGAGTTCACATTCACACATGCTCAGATCCCAACTTCTATTTTCGTGTCTCTAAACCAAGAGTCCTGCATCCTTCCAACTGGCCCTAGTGCAGAATGCCAGTTGCCTATTTGTGTCATGGAGCACGCTGTATCACTGTTTGCACCTACCTGCTGGAAAATTCAGCAGGCAGATGGAATGGTGGCTTCCACATACTCAGGCTCTCCCCCTTCTCCTGGGCAAACCCTGCCCTTCCCCTGCAATGCATAGGGGCAATGCCCATCCCCTCATCCTCCCTATCTCCCCCACCCCAGAGTACCAGCTTCAGCTGCTGGCTGAGACATAGGTCACTTCCCTGAGTGCCTCTGGTTGCACCCTAACTGAAGCACCCCCATCCCAGTGTCAGGGAGGGGACCAAGCAGGCAGTGTCTCCGCAGCTTGGGCCTCTC